GGAAGCAGAGCTGAATAATGCGAGGCAACCTCGCCGAGAGCGAAAGCATCGGAATTCTCGGCAAACTGATGGTATGGGCCCTATATCACATGAAGTTCTCAATCGTGTACATAGTGAATGCGCGCTAAGGCTCTCTAACGAGAGTATGGGAGAACAAGTCTGCAGCGTATGTGATTGTCTGCACATTGCAGCCGAAGTTACTGTTACGTCTGTCGCACGTTCGCCCGTACTAGTGGATGCATTGATAAAGCGACTCCAATCCCCAGCGAACCTTCCGGACTCTCTTCGTGCGTACTACAATGTAAAGGACTTATATGAGCCGTTCGAAGGAATCTTGTTATCACGACGTGGAATGGAAAAGACGGCTGGAGTTGTTCGTCTTCAGATTTGCAAGGCATGCCGTCAATCCCTACGCAGAAAAGGCTTAAAAGCCCCCCAAAGTTCTCAATTGCTAATAGACTTTTCATTGGAGCTTTACCGTCAAGATACCACAACACAACCGCAACAGAAAATGGGATGCCGAATTTGGCTCAGCCTACGCGGCTTTTGGAAGTGGTTCGGGGTGGAAAACACAGAACTTTACGCTCTCACATTTACTACTTTCGCGCCGATCCATCTACACCTGCTCACTTGTGACCAAACGAAATAGTATCACAAGGAATTATAGAAGTTACAATGGCTGGTGCGCTGACGGAAGAGCAAAAGCTGCGAACAATGAAAAAATACGAGGCGAGGCCGGAGCGACTGCGTGGACAACTTGCATGGTATCTCGCGAATAACCGCCTTTATAATAATGTCGAGCAGCGCTCTGAGGCTGGCAGGGCTTCTTATTCAACAACTGTGATTTTGGATCGGACAACCGACCGTCAACACGATTCTAGTGGTGACGGATTGGACAAAGCCACTTGGCGTCATAACGCCCCAGTCCCAGCACACTGCAATGTTGAAGTACAGGATGAACACTACGAACAAGCTTCCACGGCGTTGGTAAGAGATTTTTCCTGTCCAGACGACTTGAAGGTAATTCGACAGGCCATCAACGCACGAGACGTCGTTGTATTTCGTTCTTCAGACATTCTTCCTAACTTTGACCCAGCATTTTGGTCGCTGTCGTTCTGTGAGCTATTTCCTTATGGTCGAGAGGGATTGAATGAACCACGGAAGATCAAGATCGGATTACACGAATTTATTCGCTACTGCTTACGTTTATCTACGAGGAAGCACGTAAAGCATCCGTCATTTGCCCTAGTTGGATTTGATGTGATCGCACGTCACCGAGCTATACAAGCTAAATCGATTCAAGCTAAACTAGCTCCAGGAGTGTCAATTAGTGCTGCTGCTGTGACGCGCGAAGAACTGAATAGTCACATTCAATACCAAACAGAACGACTGAACGCATTAGCTGAAAATCGAGCACTGCCCACTCAGTCTGACATAAATCGACATGTTGCCGACTTGTATTCTAGCATTTCCACGGGTATGAGATCTTTCTGGGGGTCTAATGACGAAAGGGCAGAAGCAAGAACGAATTTGTTCGCAATGCAGCTGACGTTTAGAGAACCGTCGCTGTTCTTTACCGTATCACCGGATAGCTCGCTCACGTTCCGGGTCGCAAATTTATCTGGAGACATGGAGACAGAACTACTGGATGCGGTTCACAGCACTTTGAACCGTCAAATGAAATTTTCCCGAGGTCGCCTAGGAATGATTGCCACTCAAAACCCTGTTGCCTGCGCAAGGTAAGCATTACAGTCACTAATGCACAACACAACATTGATGGTTATTATGTTGTGAACAGATACTTTCATCACATTATGGAAATTATTATCGACGTTATATTTGACTGGGACCAAGTCCTGCAACGTCCGAGAGGACGGGGAGGGCTTTTTGGTACTACAGAAGCTTTTTTTGCCTCCACGTAGTCTCAGAGTTCTACAGGATCACTTCACGCGCATATCATGGTTTGGATTCGTGGTATGCCCAAAACGCTGGAGGAATATAAACGTCTTCGGAGCAGTGACAACTTCCAACTAAAGTTACTGAGTTACGTGAACTCTATTCTTCAAGCAAGTTACCCAATTTCGACTGATTGCTGCCCTCACTGTCGTGAAAAGGCTATATGTCCCGTGCCTGTTAGCCAACAAGCATTCAAAGTGCCTTTCAAAGGGTCTACGCGTCCCTCACCTTCCAAGTGTCAATCTTGCAATACTACGTATGGATCTGACGAACTCGTACGAAAATGTATCTCGAAATTGACCGAGAACCAGACCGATCAAAATTCTGCAGCTGAATTTACCCGGCTGGCAATACCACAACCGTTACCACGCACAGTAGATCGCGATTCATTGCCGGCCGTCAATTCTACTCAAGCTCTTCTCACATATTAAAATTATCATTGGTTTCACAGCAAGTCGTGTTTCAAAACGTCCAAGCGAACTCCTGCTGGAAAGAGCTGTAGAATGTTTTTCCCAAAAACGACCTGTCCTAGTACAAATTGGACCGACGTAGGATCGCTGGAGATGAGAAGAACGACAGGAAGCGAGTACCTGAACCCATACATTCCTGTAGTGAACGAAGTGATAAAATCGAATCACGACCTCAAGGTTCTATATGCCTGTGAAGGTACGCTCCCTCTCAAGAATTCCTCTTTTTGACTAGTGCTTATCTGTAATGATACCTATAGGCCCACACGTCGCATTTTATATGATGAAGTATTCGACGAAGGACCAAAAGGATGTTGAAAACCCTTTGGCGCTACATATTGGACCCTTCGATAGATCTACAGCAAACTCCGACCCCAGTTTGGATAATATTCAAGCTGGTCGTCGTCGAATGCAGTCAATGTGCTGCTCATTATCCAACGCCCATGAAATTGCTGCTCCGATGGCTAGTTTATACCTGCTACGCGGTTCGACATTTTACGCTTCCGCTTCCTTTGGAAAAATCTTCCTAAATTCGTTCTCCACCGCTCTTTTTGGTTGTTAAAGAACAGAAATTATACTGGCGGAAAGCGAAGATGGGATCGAGTATAAACCTTCCAGCTCATATCTTGATTACGTATATCGATTAGAAGAACTAGCTTTGACCTCGGTTATGGAATTTACGTCAGCTTGGAAGAAACAACGGAACAAGACTGGCCTCAAGCTTAAACAAGGACATCCTCAATTGAAAACACATTCTCTGCATCGTCGAGATCATTCAGTAACTCCTGTAATTATCGGACCTCGACTGCCGGATTTCCGAGATCCTGGTTTATCGGATGATGATCGAGCACAGCTCAAAACAAAAATGCTCATTTTATTCAGACCCTTTCGAGATCGTGCAGACTTTGGAGCAAATTTCACCTCAATAAACGCAGTCTTCGAGCGCTGGTGGAACTGGGACGCAGCTGTGAAGGCGAAAGCATTCTCAAACCACAACAGTGACTTTATGAAGCCCGCCAGCTACACAAAATAGCAGGCGATCACGACGTTCATAGACATGAACAATGTTCTTCCGATGAAAACTCGACTTTGGATGTTTGTCCAGATCCTGACTTTGATAATGATACTGAAGATGAAATCGTTTGTTTCTCGAAACATCTGGTGACTACGACTAACATATTTGATTTAACCAAGTGCAAGCAAACAACATTCCTTGCTTCCCGATCTGGTACTCCTGCACTACGAAGACTCATTTTGCCGTATGTGCCCATATCTTCGCTCCGAGAGAAAATCGGTCGTATGGAAACTGTATACAGCAAAATTACTTTAAGTCCGCACTCGGCATTACGGCCAGACCCCATATTGTGCCCAACAAGAGTGATGTATGATGCTAGTGCTGAAGATTCGCCAGAGTAGGAAGCCCCAGCTGACGTTAACAACCGAGTTTAGCTTCAACCAAATAGCTCCCTTCGGGACACATCTCGTCATTTTAATCTGAATCGGAAGCAGCACAAAGCTTTCGTTCTTGCTGGAAAAAAATTAATTCAGTCTTTTCGCAATCAGCCCGGACAGCAACCGCTACGAGCTTTTCTCGGTGGAAAACCAGGATCAAGAAAGAGTGCTGTTATTCATGCATTGCAAGCACTTGCCAAGAGTTGGGGATATCCTTATGCAGTTGCTACTGTTGCTTATCAAGGTGTCGCAGCCGAAGCCGCTGGAGAACAAACTATTCATAAGATGTTTGGATGGGGATTGAAGCCAAAACAAAAGCGTACGCAGCCGAGTCTGGAGCAACGTGAGCGTTTTGCTCAATTACGACTACTGATAGTGGACGAAATTTCAACTACAGATGTGAAGTTCCTAGGAATGATTGACACCGAGCTCCGACTTCTTCTGAATCAGCCTGATAAACGTTTGGCGGTATTGATTTCATACTAGTTGGCGACTGGCTTCAACAACTTCCGATAGCAGGATATCCTGCTTTTATAGCAACACCACCTTGCCGGAATGATACTGAAGAATACCTAGCACGGACTCGTGGGATTACTATCTATCAAAGTGTGACAACTGTTGTAATGTTGGAAGAAAATATGCGGCATCGTACACATCCCCAATGGAGCACTATTCTCGACCGCTGGAGATATGGGGATTATCGCGAAGAAGACATCAATTATGTCAATGATGTTTGTTTTACTGAAAACTGGAAGAACAATGATCCGAGCCACACGTCTTTTTCTCCCATAATTGTTATATACGAGCTGAGTATAACGCCGACTCTGTTGTCCAATTCTGCCGAGCCAATAACCAGATTATTCATCAATTCCCTGCAATCATTTCTCGAGGAAAAGTTGAATTATCTCTAGAGCGACAACGGAGTTTACGAATGATTCGCGACGCCAAAACCGGAAATATGCCGCTATTACTTTCTGTAGCAAAAGGAATGCCCGTACAGTGCACTAAAAACGTTTTCCAATTCATGAAACTCTCGAACGGCTCAATTGGATTTGTTGCTGACTTCCATTGCTCTTCGAACGACACTACCCGGACCGAAACACATGACGGTCTGGTGTACAGAATTCACTCGCTACCGCCGGAAGATATCTACATCAAATTGTTAAACCGCGATACGGATATATTTCCGGGATTTCTGACGGCATCGTCCCTGTGGTACTACGTACGGAAAAAGGAGTCAAAATTGACATGACTACACGCTCTATCAGCGCCACAGTCACCCAAATCCCGCTCATACCAGCTTTTTCCCTTACTAGTGACAAGTGTCAAGGATTAACAGTTGATCGAATGGTTCTTGGACCCTTACGGCATCCGACACGTCGTAATCCACAAAAAACCTCTTTCTACGTCGCGGTGACTCGAGTGAAAACGATGAAGCAACTGTATCTAATGGAACCTCTGACACTGGAATTTCTTCAATATTTCAAACCCACCAAGGAATCACTAGCAGAAACAATGCGGTTATACAACTTAGACTGGGAGTTTACGTGCTAATGAAGACCGAAACATTTGGCTACTGCAGAAGAATTACTCGGCATTGACTTCTCCAGGTCGCAATTGTGCGAAAACGTCTTATCACGCTACACTTTCAACGCTTCAGTTTTCTGTCTCACCCTTGCCGCCTCCCACTCGCGCACGAAATAAAACTTAGACGCGATCCCCTGCATAGGAATCTTCACGCTCACGTCTTTCTTATACTGCTTCCAAAATGCCCAAATATTGAGCTCCAGATGAAGAACGTATAGCAGAATAAAAGTCAGAACTTCAGCCAAATTATTAATTCTCAAAGCAGCAAGAAATACCCACAATTTCATTCATGAACAGAGCTTGTAATGAATAATGTCCTTGCTCCTTAAGCCACTGCCACAACCAACACAAGATAGTCAAGAATTAGTATCAGTGTCCCCTCTTGTCATCTATTTCACTCTCAAAGCAGCACCTTTGTCTCACGCTTCAACGTAACATCCTCCGGACATTCCATCAGAAATCCACCCTTGGAAATCACTTCCATCAACTGTACAAACTCAACAGAAACATCTCCTTCCTTCTTGGATAAAAACTCCATCGATAGAGCCACCGTTTTGCACGACTGCAGCGTATTAAGCACTCTCATGCCTCTCAGCACCTTCTTGCTGCCTTCCTTATACTCCTGAGCATGGAAACTTCCCACTATATCTCCATCTTTCGTACGCACCACTGGTCGCTTCACAAACGCCCTGCAAATCATCACAAATTTCAGCAAAACTGCTCCAAACAGTCCCAATCCTTCGTATTCCTCACCTTGCAGCGGATCTGGGAGGCGTCTTGGCTGCTACGCGCTAATTCTGGACGCTACCAGTGTCACTAAGCGTATGTGGCAATAGCTGAAACTCCTGTACACACGTATTACCTCCTACTGAAGCTCTAAAACACGCAGCCATGTGCAGCAGCGTCTTGACGCCAGCTCTGCGCTACTCAAGCTGCGAAGCCAATTCAACACAGAGCGCTTGTCGGCGCTGCTGTCTCTACCGCCGCCTCGACGCTTGCGCAGACTGACGGCGAGCTCTCCGAGCGCTTGAACTGAGGACAGCCAGCTCGATCAAGCGTATCCAGCAAAGTGCGTTAGGCTAACCTTCGAGCGACATCAAATCAAACGGAGCGGTTGTAATTATTACTTAGTAATTACTGTAGCTTGCGATAAAATCCAGAACTTCCACGTTTCCAACTGAGTCCTTTTGTGATTATAGTCCAGAATATTTTTGCTAAATCAGTACAATTGTCGATCGGATTTACATGTTTAAAAGAAAATTGACTGAGTTAGCGTTTGAGGAGGCGTTTAGTTTTAAAGTCACCGAAAACTCACTCATGATGAATTTGCTCAGCGGTCTCGGAGATAGGACAAGAAGACGGACGCTTGACGGACGCTAGCTCGTGTAACACGACTAAACATTGGCTTGCAAGCTGCACGCCAAGACCAGGCAGTCCCGGTGATTGATAAGATGTAAGCGTATAATTACGGATATTACTTGTGTATTTGAAGTGACAGATCGATAGTTCCCGGTTGATGCTGGACGCTTCGCTCGGGTAACATAATTGAAAGACATAACCAGGCAGTCACTGGTGGTTGATATGATGGAAGCGTATAGTAATGGGTATCAATTGTGTATTCGAAAAGACAGATCGTCACTTCCCAGTTGGTGCTGGAAGCTTAGCTCGCGTAACATGATTTTTTTTGGGGCCTTTTATTACAGATTCACGCCATTTTTTCCAATTCACTCCCGGTACAGGATTAACGTTCCCTCAAAATTTGTATTACTCTGTCGAATTGAACATTCATCTCCAAGCGCAACCAGTAGTATACTATGTCGCCTCGAATTATACGGCGAAATCCATTTGGACACAATAAATTTATAGCTTAATAAAAAAGTACCATCCAAACCTTCACGTCGTAATTACCCCCCCCCACCCCACCCACCCATTCAAATGCACAAGCGCGCCAATTTCGAGTAGAGCGCACAATACGTTTTTTTATCAGCAATCTTCCAGCCATACCCAGAACATTATATCGTCTGAGAACTGCTGTAACGGGGTACAATCCAGTGTGCCCCATGTTACATAAAGAGTGACCCATCACTCTTGTGGACACCTGGTACACGGTACCAGGTGCTCTCGGAACCAGTCAGTGCATGACTACTTAGCTCTACTATAGGTAACCTCTAGTTTGTATGAGACCCAAGCTTATCTTACTTATATATACACCAGTCTTAAATCGACTCTTCTAAGTAGCAAACCGTTCCATTTGAGGCCGGATACACGTGGGCTTACGCTCACTTGGGTAGTTGACACTCTTAAGCACTTCCTCTGTGCAAGGTGCTGTGTGACCCCGTCACACTTGGTAGCACTCGTAGTCAACCCAACACCATCGCGGGTAGATTGAGCTGCCTGAATCCTCTGTGCGCTCAACGTTTGAGCCACGATGGACCGTGCGAGTTTCCTCGCTTGAGCGACTCACAGTACGAGTCTGTTCGGAAGCTGGGACGCATCTTTGGACAAGATGTCCTTCGCAGCTTGGCGGCGGCGACGCCTGCCGAGCAACAAGAACGCGTGACCGCGGCTAGGACCTACGAGCGTGGTCTCATCGCTCACGTCCGCGGGAGGCCACGATGGCCGCTCCTCAGGCAACCAGGCCTAAGCCGGTATGGCTGAAGGTCCCCGTGTTTGAGGGGTAGGAAGGAGAGAACCGTCACTTCTGGGTCCGTGAGGTGGAGATCGTCATAATCATCACAGACGAGCCAGTTCGGGTGGCGTTTGCCTTGTCCAACCTTGGTGGACGTGCCAAGCAAGGGCATACACCAGGGCGACGACATCTCCTGGATGCTTTGTATCCTGGGCTCAGCTGTGTGAGCAGCTTCGAGCCGCGTTCCTACCGGCGAACAGCGAGTTGCGCCAGCGCTCACGCTTTCTCGCGTGTAAGCAAGGTACACGTGAGCTGCAGGAGTACGCGCAAGAGATGCGCACGTTGGTGGCATTTCTGGCAGGGAATCCTCTGTTTGAAGACGTTAAGACAACAGTCTTCATGGAAGGCCTGAAGGTCGGTCCTGCTCACACCCAGCTATTCTGGGTGCAAGCGACAACTCTGGAGGAGGCGATTCGAATCGTCCTTTAAGAAGAGTACAGCCACAAGCAGGCTGGTACTCCTCGGGAAGAGGAACATCGCCACGATGAGAATGGAGTTCCTCGGTAGGCGGAGCATCGCAGCAATGACGCTGTTGCTCCTGCTCTCACGCAGCCCGTTGATACCGGTGCGTACACCGAGCCCGAACCCATGGACTGAAGCTCAGCCGAGAGCTTGGTCCGCTGCTATGGATGCGGCGGACATAGACACTAATAGCGTGTGTGTCCCTCGCTAGTCCTCGGGAAGAAGACAGCCCGTGGACCCCAAGTCCGGTGGCACAGGCCACGGCCAGGTGGACGAAGACTCCCCGGCCACCAGTAGGGGCGGTATGCCCTACAGAAGCGCGCTAATCCTTCGTGATGGGTGTGCAGGTTGTGCGCACCACGGGATATAGCCCAGAGAGACGTGGTTCTCTCAAACCGGTGAAGGGCAGTGATGGGCTGCTGGTAGTACACTCGGTGTACGGGGGTACGGTATCCCTTGAACGTTTGATAAGTTCTGGGGCGCTGCTACGCCGCCGGAACGTCGCTTGGCATAGCGACCCCGACTGCACTCTATGTCAGAGTGGCGGTCGTGGACTGATCCTTGGTGGACTAGCCTTTGGTACGGTGAAGGAAGTATCAATGGTTCTCAACAGCCCTGAACGTTTCGGCGCGATGAACTCGCGCACCGCGGTGTCGCTCGCAGCTCTCGCCATGAACAATATGGCTGTGTCGAACATAAGGCACAGCCCGGACTTTGGTGTGGCAAGGCTGAGAAGGACCTACCAGTCCAGGTCTATGACGGAGCATTGGTGAGTCATGTTCCCACCACCGTCATGACTGAGGCGTCTGATACAGACCACCAGGACGCAGAAGCGTCACTGAGCTGGCAATGCGCCGACAACTAAGCGTACAGCAAGATCATTCTCCGCTGCGGCAATGCCACGGGCGTTGGGTTTTTTTTGCCCGGCGTGTGGACCTGCTACACCAGCAGCGTCCAACGCCGAAGTTCGTCGCGCCGACGGGATTCGACAGTGGTTATGCCTTTAAGCGCTAACCAGGTGGGTAACTGAGGACCACACGGTCGCCCAGACCTTAACTGAAGAGGAAGGCGCTGAATGCGCTTCCTGTGTGGATAACACAGTACCACACGCAGTCGCCCAGACTATAACTGAAGAGGAAGGCATCAACATGCTTCTTGTGTGGGTAACACAGTACCACACGCAGTCGCCCATACTATAACTGAAGAGGAAGGCATTGTCCATGCTTCCCGTGTGGGTAACACAGTGCCACACGAGGTCTCGAGTGCCTCTGATGTCGTCAATGCGACATCATGACGTGGGTAGCGAAGTGCCACGTCAAGTCAGCCGCCGCAAGTCGGGTCTGAACCTTGTTCAGACCGACGTCGCTTCAAGCGACTCGGAGTTCAGAGCCCGGACTCCTCTGACTCGGTCGGTGGACACCAACTCTGTCCGGTGTGTGTGCGGGTCTGACACGCCAGCTGATCCCAACACCGAAGGTCGTCGCGCCGTATGCGCTTCGACAGTGGTGGTGCCGAAGGGCATTCACCAGGTGGGTAGCATAGGTCCACACTGCGGATAACAAGTTCCGCAAGCAGCGAGGCTGCTTGAGTAGACCGACATTCGGTGCTCCGAGCGTGGGTAACAGCGCTCCACACAACCAAGGTGGGTAACATAGCTCCACACCCAAGGCGGGTAACATAGTTCCGCACACAGAGCCATTGGCTTGAGGCGCGAGGTTGTCTTGGCCTCGCTTGACGTGAGCAACTCGCCCGACGTCAAGTCGCGCAGACTCAAACTGCTGACGCGAAGGCTGGATGCCTTCGGCCGACACGGCCGACGCGGTCGTCCATACCGACGCAGTACAAAGGGCGGAGAACCGTTGCGCCTGCCAGTTACTATCAGAAGCCACGAGAGACTCAGTAGTCTCGAGGTTAAGTGGGGGTGGGGGGGGGCTCGGAAATACCTTTCCTCCCTGACTTTCCGAGAGGCAGGTAGCCGTCGTGCTGCCAGTGGCTATCACAAGCCACGAGAGACTCGGTGGTCTCATGTGTAAGTGGGAGAGAGGCTCGGACATACTTTTCCACCCTGGTCTTGAGGTAAGACCAAGTTCCTTACGGAACCAGGCGTCAATGTACATCGACTGGATGCTTTAGGGGAACAGCCGGGCTAGAGCTGCGGTAGCTGTAGCCGAACAAGACATAGTGGCGAAGAAAGCCACTGGCGCAAGGTGCCTCAGAATCGCTGAGCGAATCAGCAGTGCTGAGGTTGCAAGCAACCACACACGAGGCGAAGCGCGGACCTAGTGCAATCAGCGCACTGGTCCCTTGGTCATGAATGACCTGTCGAGTAGGGTGAACGGAACGTCTCACCCGCCGACAAAGCGGTTGCGGTACGTGATGTACGCAACGCGCCGGGTATAATGGGCCATGGAGCCATAACCCAAGTGTCATGTACGAGTTTACACACAACTGACCAGATGGTGGTCCAGGCAACGCACGCAGTCGTAACTGGTACCGCGCCGAGCATGACACCGTGGTGATGGCTGCTTACCTCACCATGGGTTGGTACCCGTGAGTACTCGGTGTCAATGCCAGACACCAACGCCGCAGTGGCATGGTGGTAAGATATGCCCCACCGCGGTCGAGTACCATCAAGGTACATGGTGTCTGTGATAGACACTGGTGTAGGTGCAAAGGATATGCACCATACCAAGACCCGATGCGCTCTGGACGCTGTGAGTCAACGCACGTACTGTGCATCGGCACTGGCTGCTGTCGAGCAGCCTGCCAGGCGTTCCACGTAATGAGCTCGTCGTGCACGGAGCACTTATGGTAGCTGTGGTACGTGTCGTACACAGCGTATCTCGTGTACGGGCCCATGGACCTGTACAATGTGCTTGCACATGCGTCGTGCATGATGTGAGCACTGGCCATGAATCCTTTCAGGCGACAGCACAGCAGAAGCAGTTGGCGCCAAACATGGCAACCTAGTGGTGGGCGTACCGCACCAAAAGGTTAGTATCGTACGGTACATGGTGTCGATGGGAGACGCCTACACCACGGTTGTATACCGTCACGGTACACGGTGTCGATGAGGGACACCTACGCGCCGTTGGTACGGTGACCAAGACGCAAGGAGAACGTGGCAGAAGCTCCGCCCGCAAGGATAAATCCTTGCTGGAGCCAAAG